ATTAAAATAAACTAATATTTCCATGTTGTTAACCGAACTTGTCTCCGACCAGAGAGATTGCAACCATCACTTACAGAAGTGGACCAGAGTGGGATGAACGGTTTGGGCGGGACAGGATCAGCGATGACCCACCGTCCCTGTGTCCGACATTCCTCATTGAGTCCTACTTGGAGCACCAAGGGGAGAGCTTCAGCACCAAATATGATCCCAACTCACTCCTTTACATGTCAAAGGTTAAAGGTTATATTAGCTTAGGTCACAAGCTACTGTAGACCTTAAGTTTTTATCTTTTTTCCCTGGCCATAAAATTCTAGTGATCTCTTTGGCCAAAGTTGTTTATTCTCATTATTATCATTTAAGATGGTGCATTTCCAAGACCTTATTTAATATGTTATACCTATTTTACTGATGTTATTGATATTTTATACCCATTAATTTAATGCTATATCCACTGGTCTGATGTTATCTTTTTGTTACAACCATTATTCTAATGTTATGGAGTTTTTATACTGATTAATTAAATGTATTCCAAATGTTATCCCCATCTTTTGTACACGTTTATATTAGATGTTATATTCATATTATCCCAAAGTTGCACCATCCATATGTTGCCCCAATATATTATTCCAACCTCACTGATAGTCTTTTGTGGTCACTTCCCAGGCCATGGACATGTTTGACATAGGGGAGGGTTACAGCTCATTAGATGAAGGTCTTTCCAGAGTCAAATGTCCAGTGATGGTCATTGGTGTCCAGACTGATGTCTTGTTTCCCATATGGCAGCAGAGAGAGCTGGCAGCAATACTGCAGCACGCAGGCAAGTTGTTTCAAAGCCTTTTATTTGACGTATCATGAATGAGGTCGTGTCGGTTTCAGCTTCTTGAGGGTCATGTTTAACCAAACTTTCCCTTGCCTCGGAGAGCTAAAATTTTCTTTACAATTTAGTCGTTCAGAATATTTAAATCTATCAAATTTTAATAGATCGTGAAATGTAGAAATTTCAATTTTTCTTTTCTAAATGTCTCAAGACAACAAAATGAGGTAATTTAGCATTTGTAAGTGTTATGTTATTGCCAATGTTTCAGTAAAATGATGGACCCAAATTTATAAAAATATTTAGGCTTATTTTTAAAAAATAAAATTGAAAAAAAACCATGAGGTATCAAATCTACAAAAATTCTTACTTTGTTGTTTGAACAGGCAACCCCCAGGTGACATTTTATGAGCTCAACTCTCTGTTTGGCCATGACACCTTCCTGCTAGACTTAAATGGGGTTGGGGCAGCTGTCAAGGTAAGCAGGTCATAGGGTGAAGTTCAAACTGGATTGGCCATGACCCAGTGTGCAGGAGGATGGGGTTAATCTAATAGCACCCTTGGCCTTCATTTGTTCATGCTGAAAACAAATTTAGAAAAATGTCTTATTTTGAAAAAGTCATAGAAATATTCAAATTATACTTCAAGTGTTGTTGCCATGAACCAATAGTTAAATTATTCTGGCCATGAAACCACAGTATTGCTGCTAAGAATAATAACTGCACATCTATTTTTAAATTTGGAAATAAATAATGATACACATTTATTTGGACCTGACAATTATGCATATTTATTTGGACATGACATATATGCACATTTATTTGGACATGACAACTATGTACATTGATTTGGACATGAAAACTATGCACATTTATTTGGACATGACAACTATGCACATTTATTTTGACATGAAAACTATGCACATTTAATTGGACATGAAAACTATGCACATTTATCTTATTTAACATTTTAGGGTTTCCTTGAAACAGAGCAGAGAGCCACCGGTTTACTGACTAAAAACAAGCGTCGCAATCAAGAGAGGAAGCTTTTTTAACAATCAGAATTGTAACTCAACTTTTACTAACAGCATTTTTCAATATCAAATGGCAACACTGAAAGAGTTACAAAAGTGTAACTGAAGCAGTTAAGAAAAACTTTTGTAACGCTTGATGAGTTTCACTTGTCTTGAAGTCCTCTGTCACCCAGGTGGTGCACTAGGTAGAGTGAGTTCATTGAAGCTGTCAATTTATCACCAGGTAAAGGGCCCAGGTAGCTCACCCGGTAGAGTGTGTTGATTGACGTTGTGAATTTGTCACCAGGTAAACTAACGCCCGGTAGCTTACCTGGTAGAGTGAGTTGATTGAAGTTGAAGTTGTGATTTTTTGGCTAGGTAAACTAACTCACCTGGTAGAGCATGTCTATTGTGGTTGGTTGTTATTAAACTTATCATAATTTGTTGGTGTGAACAATAAATTAAATAATTTCTTGACAAGTGGATTTTCTCAGCACCAAATATAATGATCCAGTGTAAGATTTGTGTTTGAAATGTAGCATTAATGTGTGGGAGGTTCATGAAGTTGAAATTTTGATTATTAAAAAAGCATTTTTTATTGGTTGTTTGTTACACGCCAGTTTGTGTCTTATAATCAAATTTTTATTGAAAATCTTTATAGTATTGTTATTATTAATGTTGATATTATTTATTTCTGAATGTTGACATAATTATTTTAAATGAACTTTTGCATTTGACGAAAGGTGTGTTCATGCATTGTGATGTAATCAAATTAAATTTGGGTTTCTAAATGTGTGACTTTCTTAAAGCTTTTCAACCTCATCAGTGGCACCAACACCGGCACCAATCCATTGCTAGTAAAATAAACATTTCAGATTTAGCTAAAATTTAAAAAAAACAAAGAGTCAGTCCTATCTTGATGGAAAAGGAAGAGACGATTTGACTAACACATCCTACTCTATCCTACAATCTATTCCATAACAGATGGATAAGATAACTTCCCCCCCTCCCCCTCCCCCCCCCCTGTGGCAGGGACATGTATCCAGATGTGTTTCGTTTAGTATTGTTTCCTACATTGAAAAAGAGAAACATGAAGTGAATGGCTCTCTAAAGTCATACAGCTACATGGGCGCCCGCAGGTAGGGGCAAGGGGGGGGGCACTTGACAAAAATAGACAAAAAATGTATTAAAGTAAAGAGAAAATAAAGAGAAAGTAACTAAGCTGATGTCCTGTCCGTTCGTTCACCATACAAATACGCTGCAGTAAATTAAAACTATATTAAAACATTACTAAAAAATGTTTGCCCCTCCCCCTGGAAAGTTAGTGGATCCCCCCCCCTAGAAAGTTTTATGCGGGCGCCCATGCATGGGGACATGCATACTCTACCCGCCTACTCTCAAACTATTTTACAAGCGTGATCTAAGTGCAGTGACGTAGGAAGAGTGAACTTTTTTCTTTATATGGAGGTGGTGCCTAAAATCTTGGCCTGCCCCGGGCGCCACTAACCCCTGCCACGCCACCCATTTATAAATGTATGATTTGCCTCGCCAAAGAAATCATGCAGGGCACAACGAGAGGAGGGAGAAGAAGAGGAAGACAAAGAAAAAGATGGGAAGATAACATCAGAGTGGACGGGACTAAAACTAGGCGATGCTGTGAGATGTGCAGAAAACAGAGACGAATGGAGGAGGATAGTTTTCATGTCATCTGCGGCGCCCCAACGGTCCAAGGACTAAGGGACATGATGATAATGATGAGTAGCCCTTGCTGTTCCTTGCGTTGATTATTTTATCCCAATCACCTTGTGTTGTGACCTCACTACTTCGGTACACAAAATCTATCATAATTTTTTTAGTACGCTTTTATTTACAGAAGTAGTTTCTCCACTCTGGCATTGTGGCTGATGACCTGTGTTGTTAGAGTTGACATTAAATACTAGGCGCTATGGCGCTGACAGTTTCAGATAGGTTTTTTTTTTGTCATTACTTGAGGATCCTGGTACGCACCAGATAGCAATACTGTATCTTCGACCTAGCGCATGCCCTCAAGAGTCCATTAGATTCCTTGCCCCTTCTCAAAAGTTAATGAGAAGAGAATTTTAGGGAGGAAGCTCCTCTGCTTTGCTTCTGTTTCAACTTTGAAATTTTCGGTGAGGAGGCGATTGTGGCGAGCTCTATATTTTAAGGTTTTCAAGGACTGGTTGGATAATGCTTGTCATTGTATAGAGAGCTCTGTATTTTAACGTTTTCAAGGACTGGTTGGATAATGCTTGTCATTGTATAGAGAGCTCTATATTTTAACGTTTTCAAGGACTGGTTGGATAATGCTTGTCATTGTATAGAGAGCTCTATATTTTAACGTTTTCAAGGACTGGTTGGATAATGCTTGTCATTGTATAGAGAGCTCTATATTTAAAGTTTTCAAGGACTGGTTTGATAATGCTTGTCATTGTGGCCAGCTCTATATTTTAACGTTTTCAAGGACTGGTTGGATAATGCTTGTCATTATATAGAGAGCTCTATATTTTAACGTTTTCAAGGACTGGTTGGATAATGCTTGTCATTGTATAGAGAGCTCTATATTTTAACGTTTTCAAGGACTGGTTGGATAATGCTTGTCATTGTATAGAGAGCTCTATATTTTAACGTTTTCAAGGACTGGTTTGATAATGCTTGTCATTGTGGAGAGCTCTATATTTAAAGTTTTCATAGACTGATTGGACAATGCTGGCCGGTTTTCGGTACTGTGTCTGAGAATTTTTTCAAAGCTACTCGTTGCAGGCTGTCAAAAGCTTTCTCGAAATCGATGAAAATGTAAAGAGCTTCATTCCATGCATGCGTCTGTTCTAAGATTTGCCTCACGGCGAAGATGTGATCCACGCATGACCTATACATTTTCTCAAGCAAGACGGCTTCTGTCTTATAATCTTAACAACTTTTGTGATTCGCTATAGATAGCATGATGCGACACGGGACTACTTGTGATTTAAAGGAGGCTGATAGATGCCCAGTTGCTATAATCAGATCGAGTTCCCCTTTTTCTAAAGACAGTTTAACGATCATTTCGGTTTTCCGGAGTACTTGGGGTCTCTTCTGTGTCCCAAAAGTAGTGCAGTGTCTGTTCCATGGTGCTTGAAAACGTCTGTCAAACATTTCCATTTGACCTATGTTTCAGGTTGTTCTCCCAGGCATTGTGCAGATGGACAAAGTCTCCAATCTAAACAAGTGGCTGGCGGGAAGAAAGGGTAAAAGGAGCTTGGACCAAGATGAGTGGATTTCAATAGAGGAACTTATTCCAGGTAATGTATTTTAATTGAACACGTGTTCCTGGCTCCTGGCACTTGTATTATGAAAAATTACAACAACAACAAGTGTTAAAATACAAAAACCTGGTTTGGTGTATGGTAACAATCGTCACCAGTAAGGAATGAATAGAGTTAAAGAAATAGCATCTCTTGACCTGGGATCAGTTTAAAGGATTACTGGGTTCAGCTCAATGAGTCACTGGGGGTCAGTTTAAGGGGTTACATGGGTCAGTTTACGGGGTTCTGTGGTCAGCTTATTCGGTTTCTGGGGTCAATTTATTAGGTTACTGGGGACATTTTAAGGCGTTACTTGGGTCAGTTAAGGTGTCACTGGTCAGTTTAAAGGGTCATTTATTAATGTGCGTATTATGTTTCTGGGGTCTTGTAATAGGTTACTGTGGTCGGTTTAGGGTGTTACTGGGGTCAATTATAGTGTTACTGTTGTCAGTTAGGATGTTACTGAGGTCATTGTAATGGGTTACTGGGGTCAGTTCAAGGCATTCCTGGGGTTATTTAAGGTGCTACTGGGGTCAGTTAAGGTGCTATTGGTTAATACATACATGTTCCTTAAAACCTAGATTGCGAAATACTGTAAACATTCAATAAAATAACACATTATAATAAATACCACTATTATATGAGCAAATTATTTAATTTATGTCTGTTACTGTCTTGTTCGTTTAATAAACTTGCAATTGAAATAAAAATGGTTATCTTCCATCACAGGTGACATGGTGCGTTATTGCCCCTGGACATTTGAACACCACACGGAAGATTACGTGGAGTCAGAACACTTACAGGCATTCTCACACTTCACCTTCATGCACACCAACGGATCTCTTGTGGCCTGCGACTTTCAGGGGGTTTGTGAGAGGAAAAACTCAACTCCCCGCTACATCTTCACCGACTCCACCATCCACTCCAGATGCAAACTGTACGGTCTCTTCGACAAAGGGGAATACGGCATTACCGAGTTTTTCAAATTGCACAAATGCTCAAACATTTGTAAAAAATGGCCGAAACCCACCCCACTGACTCCACCCCCATCTTTTGAGGAAGCGTGCGCAGCACAGAGACTCCATCTTGCATCGGCTCCAACATTTGAAAACATTGTTTTTCCGGCCAGGAGCTTAAGCAATATTATATTAGACGATGAAATCCATCAAGTTAGTCCTACAACAAGACAGGCGACTGGCAGTAGGAGAAGACATCAAAGTGACCACCAGACAAGAGTGCACATAATAGCGCAGACGGAACGGCAGACTACAATCAGCCATCGCCACAGACGGCGCTCCAGTAGCTTATACGACAATGTATCCTGTTTAACAGATACGAGCAACGTGAGTAACGAGTCCCAGCCACCAGCTTATGACAGTCTGGTGGCAACACAAGAACGCCCCACGGCGTTCTCACTGGACCACAATCGACCCCCGAGCTTACATGACAACACCCACGGCCACCACGCTGTCCTGTCCAATTCTTCAAGCTGCCCGCTCCTTGAAACAGCACAAGGTCACCATGAAAGACCTCCCAGGCAAGCGTTGGGTCGTAGCGCCACCTGTGATGAGGTGGATTCAACCCGACACTCGACACCAGGGCTAACTTTTGAGGAAAGCAGAGTTAGGAGTTGGAGCGAAAACGTGATAAACCCCAATCTTCAGCAGAGGAGGATAATGAATCTTTATGCATGCCAGAGGGAAGGGGGTAGGGAGCAGATCGTTTACCTCCGTGGTCTACAAAATGAACTACCCCCTTTAATAGTTCCATCTGCCCCAAGAAATCCAGGAGAATATTTGAACGATACATAAAAAATATTGGGAATTATATTTCCTAAATAATTAAACAATCAAATATTTCATATTTTTTACGCTGCCCCAATAGCTATTTACTTATAATAGCTTGCTATAATTTAAATGAAAATCTCAACAAAGTATAAAACGTAATGCATGGTTAGAGGTTAATGCTGGTGAAACTTTTGGTTAGAGATTAATGCTGGTGAAACTTTTGGTTAGACTAGAGGTTAATGCTGGTGAAACTTTTGGTTAGAGATTAATGCTGGTGAAACTTTGTAATATTTTCCTAGAAATCAGCATCAATCTCTAAACGTAATGTGTAAATGAAATGTAATTAAGTCAAAGTTTGTTCCATTTATTTAAAAGCATAATAACCTTTTTTTTTTCAAATCAAATAAATTATAACCAACTGGACTTAAGCTAGACATGTACACATCTATATATCTTGGACTATGTAAATGACAACTTTATTTTTAAGTGAAACTGAATGTATATTTTTACACAAAGTTTTGATCTGGGTCATTCTGTTTGACAGTGCATCTTCTTGCTTTTATTTTTGTTTTAAAACATTATACTTATACAACAGTTCTCAAGTTAAACACTGGAAACAAGACAGTATTCAAGGTTTCATAAAAAAAACTGAAACAGCAATATATTGCATGAGTCAATTACATTAAATATTACTGCCCTGATTCACTGCCATCATGTCTAAGTCATAATTTTCTAATATGGTATTGTTTTTGTTTTTTTGTTGGGTTTTTTTCAAAATAAATTTTTCTGATAAATAATGGGTATACTGTATCTGGATTGCTCATCTTATATTGACCAGATGGATGATAGCTAAGTGCAGTTGTCCAATAACTGTTTTAGTCATGCCATTAGCTCATTAGCAACATCTTTGCAGCTCATCTTGATGGTATTAACCAGACCATTGATTATAATCCCCATTCCCATACACTAATTTGACACGAATTATATCAACAAGTCAACAAGGGCATTTTTTAAAATGAATGTGTAAATATATGAATCTCAAATATGATGATGACTAATTGTACAAATAAAAATCAAATCATCTTCATCTTATGGGGCATTTCGAAAGTACTTCATTGTTAAGTTTGTGAATAGCACACTTGGGGAGAAAAAAAAAACTCTTTGAGCATGACCAGAGGCAACTTTTTTATCATGGAATGTTTATTGTTAGAAAATATTTTGATCAGTATTGACATACATTTATATTTATTTCAAATAAGATGGGAACATACATTACAAAATATTTATGCTTATTTTCACGTATTCATTTGTTCATTTTTACATCCTTCACCAAAATTAAGTCTTATTTGATTATATCATCAGGCCTAATGTTTTGTTTTTAAAATTTATATGAAACAGAGGAATCGTGGATCATATTCAATAATATTCATTGTATATTTGAGCTTTGTGTTTTTCTCTAATTTAATTAAGAAGTCATTTAAATTAAATAAACTCAGGTTTTTTTACGGCACAAGCACAATTCTAAAACAGCTCAAATATTGCAACAAAGGTATGTTAATACAATTTAGTGCCAATAAGTCAATATTTTTTAACACTCCAAACCTTGAAAGTTTTATTCACATTACATTACAAACATTCACATAAATTTAAATATGAGGACTAGAAAAAGGATAAACTATAAACAGAAAAAAATTGCTTAAGGGAATCAAAGAGAGAAAACAATAACATAAAATAGCGTTAAAAATTGTATTACCTCTCTTCTCAATTTACTACATCACACAAATATTTGTTTACTTTATTTACTACTCCCACCCTCATTCAGCTCACTTGTGCCATTATTTATTTTTTTTAATATCGTTCATGGAGTTAAATAATGTTTTAAAAAATCCTTGCAGCCTCATAACTTATATTTTTCTACAGTTAGCTTTAAATTATAAATTACTAATGAAACATTTTTAGAGTGACATTGTGATTGACATTTTTAGATAAATTATAATTTCACCGACTTTGTGCACGCCATTATTTTCATAGCAAATTTATGAGTGGGTCACACATTATTTTCATAGCAAATTTATGAGTGGGTCACACACTGTTTCAGTCAAAGTTGTTGAGTTTAACTCAAAGATTATATTAATTTGGCAATGGATGTAAATACTGGTACAGTATCTTGAGGATTATTGAAATTATGTAAACTTAAAAATCTGTGAAAGTTTGCAATAGTTGAGTCTCTTCAGTGTTATGGAGCCTAGGAGTACCATAAATATATATAGGCCTATATAAATTATAAAGTGTTCTTATTTTTTTCTTCCCTAGTCTAAGACTAAATAAACAGAAGCTTCCTTAATTTAAAATATTCACTCAAGTTTTTGCAAAATTTGTATTTAGCTGCTGTTTTTTAATAAATCATTAATTTAATGCACTCGAAAAAAAGTATTTTACATTTTATTTTTTATAGAAAAGAGTAAACCTCTCAGATTGTAACTCAAACTTGACACAAAATGGTATGTTTCCTTATAAAAATTAAAGCTGCAATATTTAAAAGCAGCAAAAATATTTTGTCACACGTGACAATCATTGCAAATGTATCACTCATGTTTCCCAAAGTGAATCAAATATACCTTTTTTTTTTTTTTTAAATATTTAATTCTCAAACTGTTACCAGCTTAATAATTTATTTTCCCACAATGAAAAATATATTTTAATTTTTGTCTTTCCATTGCTTTTGGCTTTTAGAAAATAATTGAAAATGAATCAAATATACCTTTTTTTTTTTTTTTAAATATTTAATTCTCAAACTGTTACCAGCTTAATAATGTATTTTCCAACAATGAAAAATATATTTTAATTTTTGTCTTTCCATTGCTTTTGGCTTTTAGAAAATAATTGAAGACAGTAAGTTTTGGCTTTGAGTAATTTTTTTTTACATTATGGCATTACTAAAAACTCTAGATCTAATCATTTTTATTCCATTTTTTTAAAGCATTTATATTATTTTTTTTTTTTTTTTAAATACTGTAAACAATAAAATCATTGGTAAGTAGGGCCTACCTGTGAAAATATAAGTGAATTTTGAATGCATTAATGCAATCAAAAATGTTGTGTGCCCTCTTGTGTGACACAAGTCTGTGACTAATCAAAGTTATAGTAATATTGAAATTTTGAAAGTAATGAAAGGCTCAATAAAAAGAAAATCATTTAATTGAGACATAAATATTGCTGTATTTTTTAAGTTTCCGACATGGTACAAAAACATGCCTATGCCATTTATGCCTGAAAGATAGAATGAAAGAGTTGAACTATGACAAGGTCAAAGGATAATTTAAAAGTTTGATTGTTTCAATGTTAAAATTATTAAAAAGTTACAAGGTTGGGATTTTTTGTTTTATAACTTAAAACATTTTTCTTTTTAATTTTGGTAAATTATTCTTGTACAGGGCTATGGTAAGCAAAAGCTATGCCTGGTGCACAGCATGAGTTTAGGCGCTCTCTTTCCCCACCCCCACCCACCCCCCTAAAATGATTTTAATACACATAAAAATTATTGAATTTGATTCCTTCTTAAGATGGCATTTGGGAGGTGTGTCTGTTTCTGTCTGTTTGTATGTTTTACACTTACACTGTTAAATATGGAGACTCCACAATCTGATATGCCTGACATTGAAAGGTGAAGCAGAAATAACTTTAAAGTGGGGGCTCCTATTTTCTATCCAGATATTCCCAAATGCATTACAAGGTATTATTAATTGTCTCCGTCATTTAAATAGACAACCAGCTTTCATTGACAAAATTCTTACCGTGGCATTCAATATACTTATTAACTAACAAAAAGCCATTGTTTATGACTTATAAAACAGCTATAAAGACCCTGTTCCCTCAGGTCAACTTTTTATTCTAAAGTTTTTCCTTATTAATTTCAAAAAAATGTTCACAAGACACTCAATAATATATGAGGAAAAAAACGATAGTAATTGTGAAGATTGAATGATGAGAAAAAAACAAAATGTAGTGTCAAATTAATTAGACTTTTGATGTAAACCAAAATGCTTGATTAAATATTTCCGAATTCCCCCAGATTTCTGATTAGGAAAGCAGCTGTCTCAGAATTGTAAAAAAATTGCAAATACCCACCCAAGTTTTTTTTTTAAAATAAATTTTAACATGTTCCATTTTGTCCTGCTGTGAAAATTAGTAGGCAACAAAAAAAACTCAGCAAGTGACTTTGCTCTTTTTTCAACAAATATGACATGCTGAATGCTGTCTTCATTCATCAAATTTGGCCACATTTACACTACAGACTTCAGGTACCAGTTAAACAAATAATATAAAAATAAGATTATTTTTGAGTATAAAATTGTTTATTTACAAATTTGAAATACACAAACTGAACAAAGACAGCTTTACAATATCTGCGGACAAATGGAAACAAAACTTTTTATTTTTGAATGATTTAACAAGAACTACTGCAATGACTGACAAAAATCATGGGATATCCTTGAAACATCCTATCTTCAAAATGTATGGGACAAATAGAATGCTTTCAGGACTTACAGGAAAATTTTGGAAAACAAGAGTAATAAAGTTACTTCTTTTAAAATAAATATTTCTGGATACACCATCATTTAACAGCATCTTCTACTACTAGCCATATTATGTCTTAGGAAGACATTTCAAACCACTTAAAGCGACAGGATATCTATCAATTGGTTGGAGTGTTCGCCCACTATATTTGACAATATACAAATTAGCTAAAAAATTTTACATTTTTGCAAGATACTAAATTAAATAAATCTTACAGTTCCATTGTAATTACTACAGCAAGAAAACAAAGAGTTATGTCCCTTTTCAAATAATAAATGGACTGTAAATATGATGTATGAACTCTAATATAAATCAATTTCCAAGTACAGTACAAAATGCAGACTGCGCTTAGACAATGTGACTCTTGTATCAACTAAAACTGTGCTCTGCGACATTTTTTCCCCTCACGGCACACCTAGATCCTTCTCAGATGACTGCGGCACACTACAATTAAACCATGAAGAAAAAAAATGGTTTACTGTTGTTAACGTACTAAATAGTTAATTTTTTTTTCATATAGTCCTGAAATTAACATGAGCCAGTAGATTTTGTATAGACTACCAAGTGATATAACATAAAATGTTTACTTTTTTAAGCGTATTATGCTATAACATTTATCAATAGAGAGGAAATACAGTGTATACTGTAAGGAAAATATTTTTTAAAACTGCTTTTTGACTATCTTCCTATTAAATTTTAAAAAAAATGAAAATAACTGCTTGTATCCAGTTCAAATGGACAATAATAATTTATATTTAAAAAATCTGTATGTGTACTGATTTAATGCAAAGAAACATTTCAATTCAAACACTATTGAGAAAGTCTTTTTATACAAATAAAGAAGAAAGAAATTTAACTAAGCCTAAACCCCCCCCCCTTTTTTTTTTTTTTTTTTTTTTTTTTTTTTTTACTAATGTCTGACCAACAACAAGTGTTTGAATGTGACCAAAATATCATGCTAACAATTTTCTTTACCCTCTCAGTTTGTGTTGGGTTAGGCTTCATTCAACTGTGAAGAAATGTTACTGCTGTACTGCTAAGAATAAAATACAAGCAAAATCGACCAACACCAAGTGAAGGTATTACACAGTATAGGTGTAAAAAGCATGCGATCAAAGGCCAAAGCCACAGTTTACTCACTGCTTTAGACACACTGACATGGTAACTTATCCTGTGAACCACCAAATTTAAATGTGCAGATATCCTGTGCTTTTTTTTTTATTTAACTTCAGATGTTTGATGGCTTGTTAATTCGCCAATAATTTCCTTTTTGTTGAACAAATTTATATCGTTTTTTAGTCTGTTGGAGGACTTTGCAACGGATTACCTAACATAGTCCTGCGGCACCCCGGTTGCAGAGCTCTGGACTGGAACACAAGCTAATCAATGAAGATGGTGACGTAGTTAATTGGATAGCAAAGGCACCTATGAACAATAAGCCACATGGAGTTTTCTGTCCAGTTACACTCTCAAACAACTATCCCACAAGAGCTTAAAATTATTATTCACTATACATATGTAAACAAATTTGTAGACACAATTTATTTTAAACCTGTCTTCTGCTTTAAATAGCCATAATTGGATTTGTATGTGTCTAACAACTGAAATAAAGCCATATTGTTCTAGACATAGGATTTGTTTTGATAAACAAAAAATACAGGTACCAGGTAAATCTAATAAAAATTTTAAGTTTTCAGATGAGAAATAGATATAGAAATAGATGAGAAACCCAACACAAAACACTAACTAATAATTGTTTTCATTATTCCAAAACATTAAACATTCATTCAATCAATAATTAGTGCTCATGTGAAACTTTACAAATAACAAATCAAGATTATGTATGCCAGCTCAAAATCTCTTCCATTTTAAATACACAAAAATTTACTTTCATACAGAAATGGCTGTAGAGTGAAACAGGAGTCATTTCTGTTGATGCTTTTGTTTCAATAATGAGATTGAACTACAATTATTTTATAGAGTAATACTAATTGATTGATTCAACAGAAAGATCAAAAAGATTATAGACCACCAAAACCCAATAGTTAAGCTAACCCACAAACCAATGAGGCGTGGCCTCTCAATTTAACACATGCACTTATCTTAACTCTGGCATTCCACTGCCTATTATTGTATTGCATTACCTGGTGTTAATATTCAATATGCATTTCTGCATGTCAAGTTAATAAATGAGTCGACTGGGAAATTCAGGACTGGTGCTCAATTTCACTATCTGCTATTGAATGTCATGACTGTCAGAATCATTACAATTGTATGCTATGCACAATAAAAAAATCTGTTGCCATCTTTAAATGGATGAAAATAATTACAATGAGCTAATATTTTGTATTTGTATGTGAAGCTAGGGAGGGATTTTATTATTTTGCATTGGTTGCATGAAAAGTGCATGCTATTATAATTAATCATCGATTAATCATGAGTAATTACCTCCATAGTAATGAAGTAACCACCAAACAATGTTATGTTTAGGAAACAGCATCAAATATTAAATACTTTGTTAAAAAAAAGTCCACCTTTCAAGACAACATTTTCAATACAAATACAAGCTGCTTTTCTTGAACTTTTTCTTAATGACTTAAAATGAAACATCAAGGCCGTATTATTTTTAAGGTAAACCTTTTTTGTTTAATCATTGTGAAATTATAGAAGTTGCATTTGCTATATACATGGTTAGATGAACACATTACTATGTAAATGGTCTATTGTAGTATTCCAAGTGTAAGAATTATGTGTCAAATAATTTTATTCATGTCCAAGCAGTCAATGTCTGCAGGGATACAACAAAAGAAAAGGCTGTCAAGCGTGTATGTGCTCAGCACATAGCCAAACAAGGTTTCCTTACATTTTAAAGCCAACAAGAAAAAAAGTAGGTAGAATCCAGGTTAATGTTGAGTTGATTTGTCTCCTGTTAGGCAATTCCCTTTCTAAAAATATAAGAAAGTTTGTACAGGAAAACACAAATTAGTTATCATGACTTCAGCTACACAAAAGCTGTTTAACAAGGCTAAAGAATAAATAAATGTTCTCCCCCGCTCATTCTATCTTCCTTAATTGTTTTCCACATTACAGAATGTGAATTTTGTTTTCACCGTGCACTGTAAACAATTTCTTTTCATTTGTTTAAATCTTTAAGTCTAAATTAGTAAAAACTATTAATAAAGGAATGAGGAACAAGGCAAAGAAATATTGCACTCCTCACTCCTACCTAGGCAACGTAATTACAATCTGCAACATCAAAGTCATTTGCCCTAGTGTAAATTTTAAAATATTTTATGTTTTTGTTTAAAAAAACCAGAAAGAAACAGTACAAACATTTTATTAAAATTACAATGATTCGAGTAGGATGTCCAAGCGCAGTGGACAGAGTCCATTGGAATTATTTTTTCACTTAAATGCAAAATACTTTGCATCATGCTGTGTACCTAAATAATTCAATGACACAAACAATGATAACATCTCCTCATCAACCATGGAGCCATTGCAATCAACCTGTTATTAGGTTTATGGACAGTAATTAGATTTTCCTGATTCAGGGACCGGCATTTCTAAAGAAGAGATGCACTTTCACAACAACAGAGTGCGATTTAAAAACAGACACCAGGGGTATTATCAGATCAATGTTCAAAATAAATCTAATAAATGGAGCCCCGTCAATCGACCACGTCTAGTTTTAGCCTCTTCCCCTCATTAACCACATTATCTGAGCATCTTTTCAGTGATCCCGTGAAGTCTGTTTCTGTCTGTTTCAAAATTTGGTTATTTACGCTTTGATCGGTCTCATTATTGACCTTTTCTGGTGATTCTGCTGCTGCCTTTGATTCTGCCTGCCTGGATCCATTTTTGTTGAACATGTCCAGGACAATGATAATACATGTCATGTTGTCACATCCTGTGCCATCGCCATATGTATTTGGGGCTAGACAGTGGTCAAAGAGCTGTTGAACAGAGAAACAAAATGAATTGTGCATTTAACAATTGTAATTTTAAAACAATTATTTCAGTATCTAAGTTAAGCCTCAAATAAAATAAAATTTTAAATTTAAAAATCACATTTCTTTTCTTCTAAATTATGGTCTTAGTCTTTTAAAGTCTATTAAAAAAACCACCAGATTAGTATTTCACTATAGCAGTATGCTATCTGCTACTGAGCTAAATAGATGAGACTGAATTTTTACAGAGGATGAATGAAGCTTTTACTTATATGGATAAAGAAAGAACACACAATGAACTCAAGCAACATCAATATTTAAAAATTAAGTCAAACACTTTCCAAATAATTGCTGTTTAAAAGATAATATTTCAAATTTTTAAAGAAAAATAATAATCCACTAACCTCCTCACAAATTAATGAAGGCTTTTTTTGTTTTTCCGGGTCTTTCAATTTATCCAAAACATAATCAACAACCTCTTGGCTTGATAAATAGTTCCTATATGGTAAAACAATTTGTAATATTTGATTTCTAAAGTCATGCAATATATCTTTTTTTTAAATAAAAGCAAACAGAACTTGCATTCCTGTAGTTTTTACATTTATTATTCACTAGCGCTGATCTGAATAATATTTAAGCATCGACAATAATCTGGTAAGCAGACTGTTTAGAACTAGCCGGTACATAAACAAAAATTTGTAACATAATTCCTTGACATTACCAAATGCCATCACAAGCAATGACAATAAACTGGTCCTCATCACAGAGCTCAGCAGTTTCGATATCTGGCAAAGCTGTTATCATCTGCTCTTTATCAGGTAAGTCCTTATTACGCTTGTAAACATGGTCACCTTTGGAAATAAATGATCAATCAGATTGTACAAGGGGCTACTTCCAAAGGATGAAATAAATTGAAAATTTGACAAACGTGAACATGATCTTTACACCAAGCTCATAAAAAGTATTTAAGTTCTGACTTTTTATTTGTCAAAAGATAATTGTTAGTAATTGTGTAATCCTTAGCCTTTGATAGCATTTATATTGTACTATAGTAAACAAATTACATGGTTCTTTAGAAATTAATTAAGGAAAAGCAAATGAACTTTTCCTTTTTAATAAAAATACTTATAATTCAACTGAAAAATTATTATTATAAAACATAAGTTGAATAAAAATTGATTGTGTGAAGCTTTTTTAAGGCCACAAAAGATGACTTACTTTACAAAGCATTTTTCTTTTACAAAAAAGTTTTTCAAGTATGTTAATGTTAACAATTATTTATTAATTCTCACCAATGGCTCTTGACAAATTTAATCCTCCATTAACACGGCCATCACTTGTAACTTTGCCGCCGGCCTTTTCTATTCTCTTTCTTTCAGAATCATCCTCTGGCTTATGGTCAAAAGAGAGCTCAACCGCTTTTCCAGCCCTGGCCAAAATACACCTGGAATCCCCTGCATTGGCAACAATCAGTCGCTTCCCTTGTAATAAGGCAACACAGGCAGTGCATCCGCTGTCTGAGCCAGGCTATAATAATCAAGATAAAGATAGCTTGATTTATAAATAGATGGATTCCAATTGTGATAAAGATGATATATAACTAAGTTGAAAGATGCAAACTCTAAATACATTGAAGAAAGGTACAGGCTATAGCAAAGACAAAACCAAGTAAAGAATGTTTCAGCAGTCAAAAATATAAATAACTTGGCTTGGAATGCATCTGAATTTGTTTCATATATGTGCTTTAAATCTTAATATTTTTAGAGTAGATAAAATATCAGTTGCCCCGCAAATTATGTGAAACTTCTAGCAGTAGAATTTTCCTTTTCAAATCAGTGTTTAAGCGTTGTCTTAATTGTAATTAAGGGGTGCAAAACTTAACAATAGAATCCTAATATGTTCCTAGTTCCATAAAAATCCATTTTTAAAAGTTGAATTTCAGTTAGTAAATCAGAATTTTGTTATTTCAGAAATTTCACGACAGGAGGAATAAGGTTAACATTCCATCTGATACTGTTTCTTTAGTCATTTTCACATAGTAGTTACTATTCTAGTGTCTCTGGTTTTTCATTTTTATTTGCTTTAGCAGTTTAAATAGTTTACATATTTTTAATAATTGTAAAGGGCTTAGAGCTGTAAGGTAAGCGCTATAAAAAAAAAAAAAATGCCTAAATAATAATAATAATATATGTGTACATTTACATATAACAAGGAAATCTATTTTAGTACAAGATTTTAACAATTTTTGTTTCTTAAGGCACTTTTTTCTTCATTTTAATGACAAGAATAATAAGGATTGGCATTAATATTAATAAAAAATTAACCTCGACTCTACTAACCTCTTCATTTGAGACATCCATCATTGGAACATCCTCCTCATGATCTTCCTCCTCATCATCATCTTCCTCATCACTATAGAAAATATAAGGATACTTTTTAAAACTTTCAATGCAATTACTTATTCTAGGCTACAGCAGCAAGTGTTAAAGGATAGTCGAAGCACACATCGCTTATACATTTAAACTAATTACCTCATGTCCTCCCACATCTCTTCCTCTTCATCGTCCTCTTCTGTGCCCTCTGATTCATCATCACTTGTGTCTAGATCGTGATCTAACTTTGCCATATTAGCTGCTGCCTTTGCTTTACTCTTTCTCACTTCATTATTAGTGGCAGAGCCAGAGCAAGAAGGATTTGTCTGAAAGGCAATATTCTAGTTATTAATGCACATTTACAACTTCTTAAATGTAATAATTCATTAAAATCAAATCTGTGGATGCAGTGTGTTTTAAAAATATTTTTTTTACAAAGGAACCTAACTAAAATGCTATTCTAAAATATTTTTTACAGTAAAAGACTTTTGAGTGTGCACCATTTAGAAATAAGCTCAAAAATGTTTCAAATTAATATAATGTACATAGCAAAAATATTTAATTGTTCAAAGCTTACTAGACCTAGTGTCTCATTTTTATTTTACTTAGTTTACATGTTTTAATAATTGTAAAGCGCTTAGAGCTTTATGATAAGCGCTATATAAAAATGCCTAAATAAATAAATAAATAAATATATGTATTAATAATATCCTTTTACTTTATTCTTTATGATTTGCTTTGTTTTATTATTATTTTTAATTTAAAAAATTTTACAATTAGGTTATTTCAGAGTGTTAAAAATATAAATGTCATTTTAAAAAGGTGAAATAAAAGAACTAAATGATAACAATACCTCAATTGAACATCCAGCGACACTCTCTGGCTCATGTGTTGAACTACCAGCTGACTGTAAAGATGAGGGCTGAACTTCACCATTGTTGACGGTGCCAGATTTCGTATCTTCCTGGGCTTTGGTACTTTCAGCAGTTTGAGAATCTGATAGTTTTTCATTGTTATTATCATGACCACTCTCATTGTCCAGCGTACCATCACTCTGCATCCGAGAATGGACATGGCTGTTAGAGTTGTTCACATCATCGACACCATTGTGTAAAACGGATGACTCATCAACCTCCTCTATAAAAGTTGGCGATGAAACTGGCTCAGTTTCAGACTTTTGTTCTGAAGATAACTTAGACTTTGGTTTTAAAGCAGGACTTTTAAAGTCTTGTTGGTGGAGGATTTTCATATCCTCTGGTGCACGACTTTTGTATTGTGCTAACAGCTGGTCTAATGGCATATTGGCTTCTTCCTTAAGCATGTCAGTCTCTGTTCGACCTACAGGCTCACCACCTGTTGAGCAAGGGTCAGAAATCAAGATAGGAAGAAAAAGAAACACTCTGTAGAAGTAAAGACTTAAGCTGAGATTTACCCTGAAATACTTTTGTAAAAGAAACAAATCTTGTTTAAGATTTAGCTACAAAAACTGAATGAAGCTAAGCATTTAAAAAATGAACCGCCAGACTTGCATAAAGTTGAACATGACATGCCTTTAGATAGCCAACAGAATAGAGAATTACAAGTTATACTTTCTTAAAGAAAGACAAATCTACTAAGACTTTTATTTAGGGCCGGCCTGCACAACACACTTTGCTGTCCGCGAAATATTCTTTATTCTTATTATTTTCTTAATAGCTTCCCGCCCCACCCCGTCCTCATTTCTTTTGGCCCGCACAAGTGCTATTTTTTTTGGCCAGCACAAGTTTTTCATAAAGTATTACAGCCCGCCTTACATTTTGAGCTGTGCAGGCCTTATTTAGGGCATTGGAACATTGATCTATAATTTAAAAATAATAATAAACATGAAAAGGTGATAAATAAAATAAATTTTAAACATTACAAATACCCTCTTCCTCCTCATCATCATCATCAAGTTTTCCAGCAAGTTCCTTAAGCTCTCTGATGACATCATCATTAGTCAATGTAGCATCAAAAGCTAGGAATGCATTTTGAATGAAAACAGTTGGGTCCTCTCCTAGGCCATTTTGTTCACCCATTAACCTCTTAACAAATTCGGGAAAATGTATCTCACAATATTTAGCAACTTCAGATCCTTTGGAGAAGACATTAAATTAAAGTTTAAATTAATAACAAACAAACAACATATTAAGTAATACTACTCATTACATTTTTTCAATTGTGAAGGAACAAAAACAGAAGTACAATTTTTTTTTTTTTTTTTAAATGTCCATAATTTAATAACATGTGCTGTGTTTACCCACCTCCATGTCCATCATAAACTGCAAAAAATGATGTTTTTGTTTTATTATCAAAAACTGGTATACAGTTGTGTGCATCCTGAAATGAAAAAAATATAATTTTATATTATATACTTTTTCTTGTAGCCATCACACCAGTGGTTTTTCTTTATGTTAATTGGAAAAACTGATACCACTTATCTCCATTTGCATAAATGAATTAGAGATATAATTCTGGGTGCCAACACATGACATGAAACTGGATTTATTGCCTTCAATTTTACAGTGCTTTTCAACCTCACCACAACATTTGCCAAAGCTCTTCAAACAGCAATAAAGGTGTTACTTCCCAGCCTTGCTTTAATCAATATAGAGGTATCAAACTATAAGGGGTAGTTGGTTCCCCAAACATGTAGACCATAAAACGTGTGGCCTTTTGCCAAGTTGCAGTGGCCAGATCACTTTTGCTCTGCCTTTATTTTTAAATGCCCACTTCCAAATTGATATATTTATTTAACTAATGCACAACAACTATCCCCACCAGTCATCTTAAGCACAAGATTATTTTTTGGGCCTATTAATGATTAATCCTTCATGGTGCACTTCTAAAAAGACCAACATTAATTTCAAAGTAAAGGCCAAATGAGCATTAAGCTTTAGCAGCTATTTAATAATTCATTACTTGGAAAACAAATTGAATCAGGTGCTTGCTTAGTTGTTTATTACTGGTGGTGCCAAAGTATATAGAAATTTAAATAAAACCTGCCAATGTTGCCCCCCCCCTCCACCCTCCTTACCCTAATGACCTCCTTGATGACCACATGAAAAATATTTACCGGTACCTTTAATTTGATAACTACGGTATGTGAAACATATGAATATTTACACAATTGTGCACCAATTTGTAAACCAAAAATGTGAAAATTCTAAAACTATGTAATAAGTCTGAATTCATTATATCACTTGACATGAATGGATAAAGAAAGTGTCTATAGTTAGTTTACTACCTTTGCTCGATAATGAATCCCTAAGGAATTTTAGCTTTAAATTGCTATTTTAAGGCTTTTTAAGATTTAGAAAATACCATCAAAACTTAAAAATGCTGTCATCATATAGTTCAAAATTGCTATATAATTATAATTTTTAATATAGACCTAATATAGATAAATTTATGATACGCTGGTGGCATAGAAAAAATTATACCCAGCATCTTTTTTGCCAAAGTAATATGTGCACATCTGAAAAATAAAATCCAGCTGAGGCTAAGAAATAATTTTATTCTAAAAATTAATACTAACATAGAAAAATAAGTGTATTGTGTCTTAAAAATTCGATTTGGAGTGAATTTATGAGACCAGACACAAAAATAAATTTTGAAGTGCAACACAACCAGGCAGCTGTCTTAAATATCAGCACACATTTTTTGGCAACATATAGTTTTGGTGACACAAAAAGTCGTAATGTTGCATATTTAACAGTGGTTTCAGTGATGTAATTCAAAAAAAGTGATTACAATACTTAGCTAATATTTAATACTCACTACATCAATCTATCACCAATTAGTTAATAGTTATTGATAGTTAACTACCAATAGCCGCCTAGAAACTACTGGTAGTAGAGTACCAATAGCTCTCTTCTAGAGGCTATTTAACTGCCAAGAGCCTTTGCCTTTTAATTTTACAATTGTATTTGTTTTGCACAAAAATGGTTGTTAATAAGTCAGTTAAGACACTTATTAAACGAAGTGTCTACACGTCCGGCGCGCCGGACAAAAAGTGCGCAAGATATACGTCCGGCGGCATGTCACGTGAACGCCGGACGGCTAGTAGTTTTTATTATTCTGAACGAAATGCAGTTTGGTAGATTTTGTGTGGTCTAGTGGTAGAGTGGTCGTTTGACGTTATTATTATTATGATTTGTGGATCAATTCCGGGGAAAGGATCGTTTTTTTTCCCCATTTTAATTAAAAATATTTTATACTATATATTTATTATCATGTTCATCAGCAACAGTAGTTTCATGACAAGTTTTTAAATATTTTGTAACAATTTAAAATGAAATCTTTTACTTTTATTGGTAGCCTACTCCATACTGGTCCCTGCCCTAATTAATTTTATGGATTACTGGTACACAAACTCAAATAACAAACAAAACAAAAATGTTTACTTTCATTTAAGTTTTTTTTTCTATTATTTTCATTCAAGATACTCAGTACATTACTTGGTAGAGAAATAGATTTTAAAATTAACAATAGTTTTGAATCATTCGCAGTCACGTGACAAGGCTGACCGACAAGATATCTCTCGCCACTTTCTTACGGCGGTCATGTGACTTGGTCGCCGGACAAATAGTGCGGGAGATGCACGTCCGGCGCGACTGCCCTTATTAAAACAGATAAATTTAAATTATTCAACTTTGCCCACTACCCTTCTTCGCCTTCTTGAAAAGATTTCATTTCATTGAATAATAATTACCATCTTAATAGATTTACATTCAAATAACAATATAAAAAAAAATTTTTTTTTTAAAACATGCTTTTCTAAGACAGCACTCTTCCGCTTTTAGTCTTAGCTTAGACTTTGAGTAACTTATTCTTAGAGTGAGACTTAGCAAGTAGAGCTGTAACTGTAACTAACTCAAACTAACTGTAACTGACTCAGTAACTAAGCCATTTAATTTTATGTTTGAAAAAAGAATGCCCCCCCCCCGCTTTATTCTATGTAAATGTTGAATAAATAGGCCCTTGAACCTATTATTAATTTAAATTAAAGCACAATCCCTTGGACTAGAATGGATTTTTTAAAAAAACTCACTTCTTGCGTTATCCGCCATCCTTGCATTGAAGAAGCACCATATACAAATCCTTCGCATTGCTCATCAACAGACTCTTTCTCTGTAACCGGTGAAGAAAGATATACACCCATATCAATGAGATAATTATAATGACCAAATTACAAAATATGACATTCCTGTTAAAAGTTATACGGAATGTTTTCACACGTGAAGCGACGATGGTTTCTTGAAGTACAGGCCGGAAGCTTCATCACCACACTCTTCATGGAAAAAAAATAATAAAGTAGTTAAGCCTTAAGTAAGGAACTCCAAAACACCATATATGTATATTAATCATAAGCATCGGTCAGGTTTACTTATTTGGCCAATATAACATTTCATCGTATTACATTAAAATTTAATCATAATAACCTGCATCTTTTCGAAGGCAATGCTTTTTTTTTTAATTTACTCTTGGAGAAAATAACGTCTGAAACATAGATAGGGGTTAAATAAAAAGTACATTTCTGATAGGGTACGTTGCTGCAACCAAGTACTGGCATGTGTGCAACGGTTTGGGAAACGTTGCGGCTATCCTAACGGCTCCCAGCGGATGCCACGGCAGCCTTGAAACTCTCGATTGATGTTGAGTCCACGGCGGCATCAAGTTAACATATTATATTGTGTGACATTGTTTCTTCTAATCATTCTAATCTAGTCTTTGGTGCATTAAAAAGTATATCAGTGCCGTTAAATCATTAATTTGTCATGCCCGTAAAAATTAAGTTTTATTATATAGCTCGAATATTATTTTAATAATCAAACGTGATATTTTATTTCTATATGCAATAATTTTATAATAAAGTTAACTAAAGTGTATTATAAAAATGGCTCTGCAATCAAGATTGCTACTCCTGCTCGTTCTTGTATTTTTATTTTTTGAGTTTTGATATACATATTCATTTAATGTGACAGTCTCTAATAAAATGATATAATTGATCTAAAAATAAGTTTAAATAGGCTATTTATGGTATGTATGATTTTATTTGCACAGTATATATTATTTCCATAATATACAGGATTTCAAAATTATTATCCTTGAAATATAAAATGTGAAGCTCACGGGTTATCGTAGAATTATCCTTGTATTGGAACGGAGGTCGAGAGGTAAACGAAGGCACAAGCAGATGGAATAATTAATCTAAGCGAGAAGCTGCCTATGAATAATTTCACGTTTTTGAAACCGTCAGCGTTAGGAGAATTTTAGTGTATCAGAAGCAAATGTTTAATATAGGCCTAAGTACAGGCATCATTTTAATCGAAATAATGTATATATTTCTATATATAAATTCTATACATTATAAAGTCTAGAGTTCGATTAGTATTTGGCATGGAAATGGCCCATCGGTTTTTATTAAGTTTAATTTTAATAGCCTACACTAACACCATCTTATCTAGGCCTGAATGCTGACTGGTGAATTAATTTAAGCATTAAGTTTGGGGGATTTTATTACCATGTAAGATATATCACTATTTTAAAAAGCTTTAGTTTTTAAAGGATTTTATTAAGGACATATGCTGTCATCTCTTCATTCTTAGTTCAATTTAAATAGGCCAATAATTGGGCGTTTGATATTTAAATATTATACCTAAATACAATAACAAATATTTAGCCATGAGCCAATCTTAAAAGATTGCAATAAATATTATTATGAATTTAAGTGTTCAAGTATTTGCACTTTTAGTTAACATTATTCAAGTAATTATTCAATTTAAAAATAATAATATTCAGTGTAATTAATTCGAATATTTAGTAGAACGGCTTTGTGTGTATTCTTGAAGCGCGGAAACACGGAAGTATGTTTATTTTCGGTACAGATGTTCTTCAGATATTCTTTTTGTTTTGTTTTTAGCTGTAAAAGTGTTCCTTCGTGTGTCACACCTTCTTGTTGTTGTTAGGCAAGATGGCAGATCAAGAATCTGAACAAAAACCAGATAGTGGCGATGACTCGGATGACGAAGAAGTGTTAGAAGAAAGTCCCTGTGGAAGATGGCAAAAGAGAAGGGAAGAGGTTGGTGAACCTTCAAATAATTGTCAAATTCTACGTCTACACTCTATAATACACACTTTTTCATTTATTGTGATTTTTTCTTATTTTAGGCATTATCTATCTATTCAATTGACATTACCATTAGGGCCTATACCCTGATATATTCCTATTCAACTTGCATTGACTATTATCAATTACAGTATCATGTATGTCATGTCTAGAGTCTAGAGCTGCTGTATTCAGGCCAGGTTCAGGGTGTAGAATGTGATGTAGTAATGTAGTTTTTAGCTCTGCTGATTAAAATGAATGTTTTAAGTATTATTAATATTAGTAAGATAATATTTAGGCTTAGTCTTACACTCTTGCGACAGAGCCCTGTTGGACTGTTGGAGCCTTTTTGTCTAGATGCCAATGATGATGGCAAGACTTTGCACCAAAATGAATTAAAAAATAAACTAATTATTTAAAATAATAAAACTATATACTATATATATTCTTATAGGGAATCAAATGAATTAATATTATCTTTATGAATCAAACTGAAATATATACATTTATGCAAATGAGATATCCTGGTTTGCATGATTTCTGCATGCTATGTTTTTTTTTTTACATTTGACTTAAATTTAAAATTAACATGACTTACTTTAGTTTACTTGCAGAATTTTTTTACATTTTATGATTGTGAACGCTAAATAAGTCCTAACAAACATTTGAATGAGGTCACTAAGTTAAAAATAAATTATATAAAATGACAACACTGTAAACTATCAATGGCAATCACAATTAATATGGCCAGATAAACAATCTGATTAGCTGGTACAATGGCCAGCTAGCAAATCTTGAGGCTTTTATTATTGGGGAGATGGATAGGCATTTTTATTTTTCACCATTCAGCTCTGGGACAATAGATCCACCCAGCCATCTCAAAAGTGCTACGCTCTAATTTCAAGTATAGTATAAACCTATTGTCCCTATGACTATGAACCTTTTAGTATGTCATTATGTGTATTAGCCTAAACTATATAAAGCTCATAAGTTATAGCAGCCTACACACAGTTCCTGTTTTGATTATTTTATTCCCTTTGTCTGGCTTTTTACTGCATAATAATGCAGGTATATGGAACAAAATATTAATCAGATGGTAAATTTAGTTTAGATTATTTTAGTACATTCTGCTTACTGTAGGCGTTTAAGTCTGTGCCATGCCATTTATTACATTTGGGAGAGCGTGTTTCCATTTACTCAAACATAGAAAAGTACTCAGTACTCCAAATGGTCCAATAATTTAAATAGGGCCAACTAATACAGAAAAAAATTCTTCTTCTGTTAATTATTGTAATAACTGGGATCTATTTAATAATATTAATAATAATAATAATAATAATAATAATAAAGTTTATTTGAAAAACACTCTTCATCCCCAAAAACTCGAAGCGCGGTACAAAGTCAACTATATTAAAAAGAGAAATAAAAACAATCTAAAATTTACCACATTTAAAAACAGACGCAACAATATAAAGCTACATACGCGCATACCCAGTCAAAGTCTTTCATCCCGTTTCAACCATAAGCACCACAAGCCAATATACATTAACTGAAAAAGATGGTAGATAGCATCACCCCAGAATAATAACTCTTATTATTGCTATTCATGTGTGGCTTACTTCTTTTAAACAGTATTTTAGTTATTAAATGGGGGTGGGTAGCACTTGTCATGTCCATATGCATCATGCACCCACCCCTTCTTCAGAGCATCACCACCTCCAACTTTCTATAAAACTATTGAAAGTGAGAGTTAAAAAAATTAGTCTAATTAAATAAACCATCTTGTCAGCCTACCTAATAGACAGTTAATAATTAATACAGTATAGTATTGACTTGTTCATAAGATCGACCCCTTACGTTTTGGCCCGGAAAGCCTAAAAAGTGTGTAACCTGCTCCATGAGAATGCCCTATATAAAAATAATATGCCAATAGAAGCAATACAATATTAACCCTTTCATTACTGCTGGTTTTGGCATCGATTTTTGCTGACTCATCAAAAAAAAAAAAAAAAAAAAAAAAAAAAAAAAAAATTTAACCCTTTTCTTACTGTTGGTTTTGGTAAAGATTTTTTATGAATCAAAAAAAAAAAAAAAAAAAAAAAAAAAAAAAAAAAAACTTGGAAGAAGAAATTTTCGGTATTTTTGATTCTCTATCCGATTCGCTTTTTAACTTCTCAATAGATTAACCAATAAAGATTATATAGCATTGAAATATGACATCAACGTGACGTCCTTGGTATTTCAGAAAAGTTCTTGGTCTCTTTGTTATGACAACAATGGGTTGTCCTTGGTAATTGAAAATGGGTATTGTGAAATCGCGTCAAGGTCATCGGTAGCGAAAAGGTTAAAGTTATAAATTAATTACTTAAAAAATTTTTTACACTTTTAAAAATATTACTGCGCAATTTAAAAGACTTAAAAAAACTAATAAATATACAGTTTATGTATAACACACATACTTGCTTTGCATGTCTACTGCTACATATGGTAACCTTAATGAATATTTCCAAAAAATAGGAACTCTGCTATAATAATAATTTCAATTTATTCAATGTAGGTACTGAACGGCAGTCGCAAAATGAGGACTAAAAATTTGACCAAATTTTTTTTTTTGTGCACTGCTAATTTTTGTATTAACTTATGTTAATTGCTTTTTTCTGCATTGTATAATATAATCAATGTACCTGGAGAAAATTATAAAAATCTTTTGTTACCCGCTCACAAAAGAAGTTCTTAGTCACAGCTGAATACTTTCACAAAAATTACATTCAGCTCTATTAAATATAAAATATTATTTGTCAGTTCTGTGTTTACTATCCAACCTGTCAACTGTTTTGTTATACTTCTAAGGTTGACCAGCGAGATGTTCCCGGTATTGATAATGCATTCTTAGCTATGGATACAGAAGAGGGAGTGGAGGTAGTTTGGAATGAAGTTCAGTTTTCAGAAAAAAGGGATTTTAAAGCACAGCAGGTAGGAAATTAACAATTTGATGTGAACCTTTGCTATAAGATAAGATTCTTTTATTGATCCAAACTAATAGAAATGTTTTTTGATTGCGTTGGACATAGACATTTTCATCACATAAATAAATAGATATTTTAATTAAGTCCACATTTTTCAACTAAAACAATTTGAACACAAGACATCTACATTAAATTATTTCACTGGTGAAAAT